AACAAACAAAGCTCAAAATCAGTAGAAGGAAGGAAAGAATAAAAATGTGAGCAGAAATAAATGGAATAGAGACTAAAAAACAATAGAAAAAATCAATGAAACCAAGAGTTGGTTCTTTGAAAAGATAAACAAAATTGACAAACTTTTAGCTAGACTCACCAAGAAAAAAAGAGAGGTCAGCATCATGGTGGAGCGAGCGTTCCTGGTAATCTCTTGCTTCTACCATACCACAAAAAAGACATTCATTCTCCAACAGAAGATATCCAAACACAACACAAAAGATGTCTGAAAAACCCATGCAGCTGTATGATGGAGGACAGAGAGGCTGGATCCCCTCTCAGAGGAGGTGGAATGGGGCAGGAGAAAATTTCACTCCTTCCCCAAAAGACTGGGATATGGGACCATAGGCCGCCTCTGAGAGGGAAGTAATGGGGGAGAGTGGGGAATGTTCATTCGTGGGAACATCAAAGATCCTTGAGGGCCCTCACAGCCTAGGGGAAAGCCTCTACCAATGTGAAAGCTAACTTGGGGGTGACCTAATCAGGCCAACATGCGAAGAGAGCAGATAGTGAGGGCAGAGCGAGAAAACCCAGAGAGCATACAGAAGAAAGTGCCCCTCCTCCCCACATGCCCAGGGGAGGATCCAGTGCCTGGAATCTCAGAGGAACACAAAGGGCTCAGAATACACAGCTGTTGACCCCCACCCAGTGGCAATAGGTGGTAACTGCAACCAAATAATACCATGATGCATAAAACAGAGCCACACCCTATAGCAGTATCAAAAATTCTATTAAATCTCCAGACCAGAGAGAAAATGACAAGTACCCAGAAATCAGTCCTGAGGACACAGAAATATATAATCTAAATGACAGAGAATTCAAAATAGCTATCATCAAAAACCTCAACAATTTAAAAGAGAGTTAAGAGAAACAATTCAACTAGTTCAGGAGCTACTTCACAAAAGAGATTGAAACTATAAAGAAGAATCAATTAGAAATATTGGAAATAAAAGACACAGTGTAAGAGATAAAACAAAATATGTATCCCCTAAATGCTTGAGTGGACATCATAGAGGAGAGAATCAGCAAAATCGAGGACAGACATGTTGAAATGCTCCAGATAGAGGAGGAGAGAGAATTAAGACTAAAAATAAAGTAAGAAAGTCTCTGAGAAATATGCAACACAATTAGGAAAAGCAACATAAGAATTGTAGGTATTAAAGAGGGAGAAGAGAAGGAGAATGGAGCAGAAAGCTTGTTCAAAGAAATAATAGCAGAGAATTTCCCAAACCTACGAAAGGAGATGTAAATCCATGTGGAAGAGGCTATCAGATCTCCTAAGTATGTCAATGTAAAATGACCAACTGCAAGGCACATAGTAGTGAAACTGACAAAAGTGAATGACAAAGAAAAAATACTAAGGGCAGCAAGGCAGAAGAAAATAACCTACAAAGGAACCTCTATCAAGCTTTCAGTGGATTTCTCTGCATAAACCTTACAGGCTAGGAGAGACTGGAATGACATATTCAAATCCCTGAAGGACAAAAACTTTCAGCCAAGAATTACTCTACCAGTGAAAATACCCTTCAGATATGATGGAGAAATATAAACCTTTCCAGATAAACAAAAGCTAAGGGAGTTTGTAGCCACGAGACCTCCACTACAAGAAATCCTCAAAAAGGCCCTCATACCTGAAGGGGAAAAATGGGTTACAAAGCATGGAGCATTGAGATAAATAGTTAGACAAAATCAGAAAATTATAGCTATACATCAGAACAGGTTAGCAAATACTCAAGAATAGCACTAAAGATAAAGGGAAGGAAAAGATAATCTTTTCAAAAACAAAGGATAATCTTGTTTATCAAAACAAGTATAAACTTGTCATTTTAACCACAAACTAACAGCACAAGATGGACTAAGATGTGAGAAAAACAACTTAGGAGAGGAAGAGGAAATGGACTGAATCGGTTTAGTCTAAGGAAATAAGAGGCCATCAGAAAATGGACTATCTTATCTATGAGATTTTGAATACAAACCTCATGGTAAGCACTAAAGAAAAAAGCAAAACAGAGACACAATTTAAAAAAATGGGCAAAAGATCTGAACAGACATTTCTCCAAAGAAGATATACAGATGCCCAACAGGCACGTGAAAAGATATTCAACATCATTAACTATCAGGAAAATGCAAATCAAATCTACAATGAGATATTACCTCTTGCCCATCTGAATGGCTATAATTAACAAGATAGTAAATAACAAGTGTTGGAGAGGATGTGGAGAAAAAAGAACTCTCATACACTGCTGGTTGGAGTGGAAACTGGTGCAGCCACTATGAAAAACAGTATGAAGATCCCTCAAAAAATTAAGAATAGATCTACCATATGATCCAGCTATCCCACTGCTGGGCATTTATCCAAAGAACTTGATAATGCAAAAGCATAAGTATATCTGCACCCCTATGTTCATTGCAGCATTATTCACAATAGCCAAGACTTGGAAGCAACCTAGGTGCCCACCAAAAGATGAATGGATAAAGAAGATGTGGTATATATGCCCAATGGAATACTACTCTGCCATAAAAAACGATGAAATCTGGCCATTTGTGACAACATGGATGGACTTTGAGGGTATTATGGTAAGATAAATAAGTCAGAGGGACTAAGTCAAATATGGTATGATCTCACTCATAAATAGAAGATAAAAACAACAACAAACAAACACATAGAGACAGTTGTTGGATTGATGGTTACCAGAGGGGAAGGCGGGAGGGAGGAGGGCAAAAGGGGGGATTAGGCACACGTGTGTGGTGATGGATTATAATTAGTCTTTGGGTGGTGAACATGATGTAATCTACACAGAAATCAAAATATAATGATGTACACCCAAAATTTATATAATGTTATAAACCAACGTTACCACAATTCAAATTAATTAATTAATTTTTACAAAGGTAATAATAATAGTGTCTACCACCCAGGATGTTGTGAGCAATTCACAAATTAATGTAGGTAAAATGTTTCATTAGTTCCTGGTATATTGTAAGCTTTTGGTAAATGTTAGATACCAGTATTATTATTACTCAGCCTCTCTTAAACATCTTCTTTTACTGATGTTGGTTATTTATACCAGCTAAGTTGCACACAGCCCCTAAGCGACAGTCTTATTGACTATAAATATATATTTTTTATAGTTTTATGATAATCGCTACTATCCATCTTGCTCAGCTGAGAGAAACACGGAGAAATTGCTACTTGCAGGCTTTGGGATCAGATTGCCTTGGTTCCAATCTAAGTTCTGCTTTATACTAACAGTGTGAGCCAGAAAAATTTATTTCAGCTCATTGAGGCTTGGATTTTCTCACTTGTGACTCAGGGATAATATATACCTCACAAGGTTGTTGTGAAACTTAATTGGGATAATGGGTGTAAAGTGGCACAGTGACTGGCACAAAGTGATCAACAACGGCGAAGTGGCACACACTGTAACTCTTGGGAGGGAGAGAAGTGGGACACTGAAACTCCCTCCTCCCACTCAGAATGAGAGCTCTGGTGCAGATCAAGAATAAAATGGAGTTCTGGAGTCCACAGAGCCACACAATTAGACCACCCTGCTAGTGTGGAGTATAGGAAATATAAATAGAACTGGCCTAAGGCAATAAACCCTTGCTTTCTTTTGGCTTTCTTGGAGCCCTTCTTTTCTGCATAGTTTGCTCTTTTTATTCTTGATCCCAGAGGGCTGGTGCAATAAGACACCACTCCCCAGCTCTTGGAAATTTGAGCAGGACCAAGGTGCAGCCCAGGTGAAAGGAGACAGAGAGAGGGTAGCTTAGCACATCTAGGTCTTATGAAAAAAAAAAAAAAAAGGGATAGTGAGAGAGAGGGAGAAAGGGAGAACACTTTTTCCTATGTCTTTGTCCTCACTTACTTCCCCCTTTTAGGCCAAGTTCTACGATCCAGTGAAGAAAGATATGGTGTGGGCCGTGGAGAAAAGGACCAAAGAACATCCTCAGCATCTTGCTGAGCTTGCCCTCTTGTATGGGTCCCACACTGGACGGGAAAAAAGAGTCCTTGGTAGCATACACGGTCCAATCCATGACCGAATAAAGAGTGTTCCCTCAGTGTTATTTATCTCCTGAATACTGAAGAGGTTTTTAAAAATGGTTGCAAATTTATTGAAACTCCTCCCATCGAGAAGTGAAGTATGCATTCCCTCTCTCTGAATTAAGTTGGTCTTGTGACTGCTTCAACCAATACAATATGGCAGAAGCAACACTATATTGCTTCTGATGTTAAGTCATAAAAAGCCATGCAGCTTCCACCTGGTTCTTTTAGGATAATTGCCCTGAGGGAAGCAAGTTGCCCCATAAACAGTTCAATAACTCTGAGACTGCCACATGTAAGAAGCCACACGTAAGTGCTCCAGGCAACAATCTCAGCTACTCCAGTCTTCCAGCCATTCCCACCAAGGCACTAGATGTGAAAGTGAAACCATTTTGGATCCTCCAGACTATCTCATCCATCACCTAAGTACCTCAAGTGACCTCAAGTGACACCACAAGGAGCAAAACAATCACCCAGCCAATCTCTGACTGAATTCCTGAACCGAAGAATCCATGAGCATAATAAAATTGTTCTTGTGCCCCTAAGCTTGGGATAGTTTATTATGCAGCAATTGTCACTGGAACTGGTACTTAGCTAGGGTCTGCAGATGGCTAGTTGAGGTTTGAAAGACCCAAGATACCCGACTCAAATGTCTCTTTTCCTGTGGAACATGGCCCTGGCTTTGTGGTAATGCTTTTCTTCCACCTCATTTTAGCTCATTTTGAAAAATAAGGCCGTGGCCAAACACTGTGTGGTGACAGGATAGAAGAGCAGAAAGAGAAAAATAACTGCTGGGGGTAAAATTAGTGCTTCTTAGGTGATTTTGTGAGAAGGAAGTGCCGGTGGACTGGGATCAGCTTCTGAAGCTGTCCCTAGCTCTCCTTACCCTGAGAATTTACCTCTGTCTCCTCCAGCTCCAGGGGGACAGCCATGGATATTGGTTCCTTCCCACCATCAGCACAGCTGCCTTCTCTTGTTGCTTCATGTAGACTCATTCTGAAAAACTAAGAGATAGTAATAACCATGACCATCCCAGCTCAGAATTTTTGAAGGCCAGTGAGATTGCGGCAAACTGAATGGAGGGGTTGGAGATGGTCAGGGAAGCCAATGCCTTACCAGCTGAGTTTTCAGTCATAAACTTTGCTAATCTGAAGGAAGTCGAGGTGTTTCCAAGGAAGCATCCAATGTCAGGTGTCCACTGTTAATTAGATCCTAGAATTTTGGGGCATAAAGACCCTTGGAGGTCTTGTAGTTCAATTCTCTCATTATACCCATGAGAAAACAAGCTCATAAAGGGGAAGTGATTTGGATAAATTTATTAAATGAGTAAGTTGCAGAAGCAGGAAGAGAAACCTGGTTTTCTAAGTCCTAATCCAGAGTTATTCTCAACATACTCTACATCAATGCCTCACAAAATTTAAAGTTCACACAAATCACTTGGGGATCTTGTTTAACTTGAGATATGTCATGGGGGCTTGAGATTCTGCATTTGTAACAAGATCTCAGGTGATGCCTTGCTGCTGGTCCTTGGGCAACACCTTGAGTAGCAAGGCTATTGGGAAAAATTAGTCGAAGAAGTCAATAAATCCTTTTTCTTGAAGTGTAAGCATCACGGCCAGTATTCTGCCATTTGTGTCTTTTACCTCATGAGTAGACTATTTTTCATTTGCCATACCCTTATAATTCCCCCTCCTTTTGACCTTTCTGTAATTTGCCTTGGTATTAGCACCAGGAGATGATGAAGTAAACATGCACAAGAGAAAAGATAAGAAGAAATGTGACAGAATGGCTAAGTCAGTTTTGCTTCTTCTTTGTGGCTTTTTGAAAAAGATTTCTTGAAGGTGGAGGTAGAAATTGGTTTCCAAACAAATTTAGGGGTTATTTCTGGATTTCCTGTCCCCTGTATTCATGGAAAATCCAGAGCACGCAGTATGAATGTATAACAGTGTTCCCAGTTTTCTCGTGTGGTTTGTGGAAACTGGTCACATTGCTTTACAGCCACACCACATATATTTAAAGGCTATAGCTATGCAATGGGGTTTCAGTCCAAATGATTCAGAAAATTGCTTCAATCCTTTACTTTGTCAGTAGAGTTCTGGCTGGTACTTACAGAAGTAGTGGATGAAGAACAGGAAAACTTATGCCTTCTATTTATGCTAGCCAGGACCTTCAACTTAAGCAAGATTATTTTCCTTCCCAATTTTAGAAAATATAAGCTCATATTGAAGCTGGTTCTATGCCTTTCCAGCTCTGTGACCCTTGTGACCTTAGATAGTTCACTTCCCTCTCTGGAGCTCAGTTCCCTCATTTGCAAAATAAAGGACTGCACTATTTCTAAAGTTCTTATATTCCAATTACCATCTCCAGGCCTGGATAGTGGTCACTTATGAACAAGCCATGAAAACATATGCTTCAAACTTGTCCTCCAGGTACTCTTATTTCCTAACGTGGAAAAGAGACACACATATTAGAAAGATTTTTCAGCCACAAAGATTGAAACAATGCCTTCTCTGGTTATCCCTTAGTTACCCAGAAAAATAAATTAACCAAATCCCTTCTCTCAGTCACCAAGAGTTCTGGTAACCTGAGGCTTCCCTCTGATAAGCTTTTCTGCTTGTGTCCTTTATGCTTGCTGGTGACAAGAAGCAGGACAATGGGTAGGTCTGGGAGAAGCTGAGGTCTGGACTCAGTGAGCTGCCGGGCAGGCTGACAATCATCTTGGTAGTTGTCAGAAATGACCTTGGGTCATATATGCAATATGAGGGATGCCAGGGAATGTTTAGCTGTTTTTTCAAAGGAGACTTGGATTTAAATTCATTTGTCACCATTTTAGAAAGAGAGCAGAAGAGAGAGAAATGTCAGGCTAAGGTTGACTCCCTTACCGTGTAACTTAGACCTTCAGGAATCCCCTTCGTGAACCAGTACTGTGCCTTCCTCGTGCATGCAGGCACTCAATGTTTTAAGAACTGACTTGAATGCCTCTGGCCTAAGAAGAAATGAAAAAGCAAAATTATGTAATAAAATATGGATTCGTTCCAATCAAACTTTGTTATTTCTCTATAGGTCCTCACCCTGGAGTTAGACATTGCCTATTTAGTTTTGTTTCTTCTTCTTCTTCCTCTTCCTCTTCTTCTTCTTCTTCTTGTATCTGGTTTGCGTGAAAAATCAGAAAGACATAAGGTGCCAAATTATTTCACTGGGATCTAATTTTATATAAAGCAGGGTTTCTTAACCTTGGCATTATTGACACTTGGGGCTGGCTAATTCTTTGTTGCAGGAGGCTGTGCTGTGCATTGTAGGACGTTTAGCAGCATCCCTGGCCTCCGCCTATTAGATTCCAGTAACACCTTCCTCCCAGTTGTGACGGCCAAAAATGTCTCTAGACATGGGCAAATGTTCGCCAGGGTGCAAATCACCCCCTCCTTGTTCTAATTCATCTGACCCCCATATACAGAACCTGCCTTTCAATTAGAGGTCATCAAAAAAGATTGCTGTGTGCACCTTGCAGCCTGCTAATGGGCTTCCTCCTCTGCCTGCAGATGTCCTTATCCATCAAGGAGCCTCTCCAAAGGTCCAGGTTACAAGGACAGAGATCTTTCATCTTAGCTTGACACTTTCATCTGCCACATCTTGCTCTCTCCTGCAAGTCCTCTGCAACAGTGACAAATAAATCACAACACAGACCTGAGGTCTGGTCTGTTCAAGAAAGCCATTGCATTTGACTTTGAGTTTTTGTTTCTGAGAGGCATTGGTGGCTCCTGTGGTTCAAATAGAGATAATAGACAAGGAAGGAAAGAAGGGAGGAAGGAGGGAAGAAAGGAAGGAACAAAGGAAGAAGGGAGGGAGGGAGGCTAAAAGAAACAAAAAAAGAGAGGGAGAGAGGGAAAAAAGACAGACAGATGGTATCTGGTCTATCCTTCCCATCTAAGGAAGTAGAAATTTGAGCCAGCTCAGGCAGAATTGGCCATGTAATGTTTTTAAATGTCCATATATGGAAATTTCACACTGCAGCGGGCCAATACTGCCAATTCTAGTCATGAATTTTCGATTCTGTTTGAGACAGTCTGTTTTCTGGGGTTATAAAAGGAGGGGCACTCCTTGATAAACTTCTTATTCCAGAGCATTGTAGGAAGGAAATGGAACTGAAAATAAGAGTTTTTAAGCAAGGCAGAGCAAACTGATTGCCCAGAAATTTAGGTTTTCAGCCTAGGTCTTCTAACCAGCAGTGTGATCTCGGGCAAGTCATTCCTGTACGGCCGTATTTCTTTCATCTGGAAAATTAGATAACGTCAGAGTGGAAAATCTCTAAGTTCTCTTCTTCTAAGACAATACACCAAATATTTGGTTCTTAAAATGTGCTGAAGAGCACCTTGGAATTTGATTTCCAAGCAACTAATGATGCCATCTTGTGGCCAAAACAAGGTGTTCTTTTTTTCTAAAGATGAATTTCTCCTTCAGATAAGGCATCAATGGCGATTTGCATTCACTTAGCACATTTTCTATCTATCTATCTATCTATCTATCTATCTATCTATCTATCTACCTACCTACCTACCTACCTACCTATCCATCTATCCATCCATCCATCCATCCATCCATCTTATTTTTATTTTTTTTTTGAAGTATAACACTATTCATAAGGGTGATAAATTTTCACAAACTAAGCACATCTAGCACCCAGATCATGAAACAGAACATCACCAGATCCCAGAAGCCCCCTTGTGCCTATTTCCAGGCACTATCCTCACCCCACAAACACAATGAATTTCACAAATGTAATGTTGCGCAAAAGGAGCCAGATGCAAAAGTTACTACCTGCCCTCCCTCCAAGGGTTGCCACTATCTTGATTACTAATAGCATAAATTAGTTTTGCTTGACTTTGTATTTTATACAAATTGAATTATGCACTGTGTACTCTTTTGCATCTGGCTCCTTTTGCTCAACACTGTGCTTGTGAAATTCATCCATATTGTCACATGTAGTTGTAGACCATTCTCATTGCTATGGAGTATTCCTCAAGATCCTTTTAAAAATTATTCTGTAATTAAATAAATTTTTTAGTATAAAAGTAATGTTACCTCAACAAAAAGTGATGTTATATGCAAGGTAGAAAAGAAAAGTAAAACAAAAGTAGTTACTCATAATCCTCCACCCAGAGGCAACCTTCATTAATATTTTGGTGTATTTCATTTAGTATTGTTTCTATACATATTTTCAACATATTTAATATGGTTGTATGTAGAATTGTATATGTAAATTTTGTTAGCATAATACTATAATGTTAGCACTTCACTGTTATTAAAAGCCTTCATGGATGTCATTTTTAATAAATAGCATTCCTTTACTGTTAGGTATTTGTGGTGTTCAGTTTTTGTTTCCTTTTGTTTTGTTTTGTATTAACAAACACAATGAACATGCTTGACCACAAAATCTTTTCTGTTCTTCAGACGGTTTTCCTTGTAATAGAATATCAGATGTAGGATTACTGAGTCCAAGCCTTTAGAAACAGGAGACAGGTCCAGTTTGTGACTAGAATGCAGTGATAGGAGACTGAAGTAAGGAACTGGCACGTTCTGAGCCCCTAGTAGTACATGTACCAGACATCGTGCTAGTTGCTTTGCTGACATTCTCTCATTCAATTCTCACAAAAAACCTAAGAGGTCCATATAATTCCGGAGAGAGAAAGCTGAAGGCTCAGAGAGGTTAAATAACTTGTCCAAAGGCACACAAGGAGTAAAGTGGCAGAGCCAAGATTTGGACCCATGTCTGTCTGGCTACAAAGCTCGTGATCTTTCAACCTTACCATACTGCCCCCCAGAGTGCAATTTCAATAATGCAACTGAAATGCACCGTTTTCTCCAATTATCTTTTCCACAGGCCTGTCATAGTTCCTAATAAACTGCACATGTTATCTGAGCAGGGGAAATTATACTTTTCTCAGCCTTTCAGTATCACAGTGGTTTTGGTATTCTAGTGGGCCTAAGAGAAAGCAATTAGGCCCCAAGAGAGTGTGAACACTGTTTCTCACCGATGTTCATACTTCTTGAATTTCCTCTACAGTGAAAATGGAAGTTTCCTTTTTAAATTTTTTCCTTTCTATTAACGCATCTGAGTTCTCTCTTCCCTGCTCTACCCCTCTGACTTTTCTTCAACTTGAATGTTGTTGAAGTCAGCTGTTACACTACTGAAGTTTTCCTGTCTCTCCTTTCTGCAAAAACTAAAGCTTCATTGCTGGATTTTTGGACGTCCTTCTTATTTATTCCTAGTTACTTTCTAGTTTTCCTATTCCTCCATCCACATGCCAATCCCGTCTCCCTTATTTTTCCCCTATCTCTTCTCCTTATTTCTCCTGCTGCTGCTACTACTACTACTACCATCACCACCACTAATAGAATCTTAGTTGATCTTCCAGGTTACTTGCAGTCACTGTGGGAAGCAGAGGGTAGAATCTTAACAGAATAAGAAGGGAAAGAAGACAAACATCTGTGCTTGGGGCCACAAGCAGCCAAGGCCTCAACTCAATGCACTTGCTGCATGTTAGGTAGGTGGCAGGCAGCTAGAGAGGAGCAAGAGCACTCTAAATGTCTACCATGAAGACAAATGCCAGCCTTTGCACTCTGGCTTAGGGCTAAGGCCTGAGGGAGATATCAGTATGTCCTGCCTTCTTCTGAATTACCCAACAAGTAGAGCCTTTCTCACAAAGCTATAATTCTCTTTCCGCCACTGGAAACCAAGCTAAAATTCCATGCAACACCCTCAACCTAATGCTGAAGTCTACGTCAAGTTTGGAGGACTGATGGACACAAGGCAGATGGACAACAAAACCTTATTAGTTTCAAAAATGGTGCAGGAATAATTAGATACCCATATGTAGAAATAAGCAATACCCTTATCTCATACCATATGCAAAAATTAACTCAAAATTGATCATTGATCTAAAGGTAGGAGCCAAAACTATAAAAGTCTTAGAAGAAAACATAGGAGTAAATCTTCATTACCTTGCGTTAGGTGAAGTTTTTGTACATATGATGACAAAGGGATAAGCGACAAAAGAAAAAGTAGAAAAATTGGACTTCATCAAAATTTAAAACTTTTGTATGCCAACGAATTACATAACCTAGATTAAAATGGATAAATTCCTAGAAACAAACAAATTACCAAAACTGACTCAAGAATAAATGGAAAATATGAACAGACTTGTATCAATTAGAAAGATTGGATCAGTAATAAAAAATATCCCTCAACAAAGAAAAGTTCAGGACCAAGTGGCTTCACTGGTGAATTCTACCAAATACCTAAGGAAGAATGAACACCAATCCTTCTCAAACTCTTCCACAAAACAGAAGAGGAGGGAATACTTCCTAACTCATTCTATGAGGACAGTTTTCCCCTGATACTAAAGCCACACAAAGGCATCACAAGAAAAGAAAATTGCAGGCCAATATTCCTTATGAATATAGATTCAAACATTCTCAACAAAATACTAGCAAACCAAATTCATTAGCATATTAAAAGGACCAGAGCAAGTAAGATCTATCCTAGGAATGCGAGGGTGATTTAGCATAGGAAAATTAATCAGCGTAATATATCACATTAACAGAATGAAGGAATAGAATCACAACATGATTTCAATTAAAGCAGAAAAAGTTATTGATGGAATCCAACCACCCTTTCATGATAAAAAACATTCAACAAAATAAGAATACAAGGGAACTTCCTTAGCATGATAATGGGCATTTATGAAAAGCCCACAGCTAATATCATAATCATGAATGACTGAAAATATTTCTCTAAGATCAGGAATAAGACAAGGATGCCTGCTTTCGCTACTGCTATTCAAAATGGTGAATATACTAGAAGTTCTAATCAGATCAATTAGGCAAGAAAAGAAATAAAGGGCATCCAAATTGTAAAGGAAAAAGTAAAACTATTTTTATTTATAAATGACATGATCATATATGTATGTAAATATGTATTTCAAAAGAAGCCATAATAAAAATACTAGAATTTATAAACATATTCGCCAAAGTTACAGGGTACAAAAACAACAAACAAGAAATCTGTTGTGTTTCTATACATTAGCAATGAAAAATCTGAAAAGGAAGTTAAGAAAACATTTCTATTTATAATATCCTCCAAAAAAATAA